GAAACACAACCGCTGAACTTTGTTCCTGCATCTGCCATGATTGACCCTACCATTTTGTACTAATATGTTTTTATGAAACCATGTGGACTTATTTTTTCAAATCTGTAGGTTGTCTACCTTTCCAGAGAGAGAACTTGTCATACAGTGAATATACTGAAACAAAGAAAAGTGCATTTGATCATTTTGTGCAGAAATAGTATTCCTCAAACAAGCCACTTAGGCCAAATCAGGTTCAGAAAGCGTGCCAAATAATTGCAAGGGACAGTAGTAGTCGTGGAAAGGTTATTTTCTGATACAATTTGAATAGCTACCAGTTTAGGCAGTCAGTTTCCAATGTGAGATCTGAAACTGTGTTAAACATCTAAACTTCTGATACATGGTGAGTCGGACATCTCTGGTTGCAGTACTGGGTCAGTGCATGTTGTATAGATAATGTATTGCTTAACTTCACTGAGGGTCTTAAAACTCCTCTAAAACTAAAATTTACATCCCTTTCTTGGTTCTTATGGGGGATGAACTTTCACTTTGTGATTGACAAAACAGTGTTATTTTCTGAATATTGATGCCTGGTTTGTTTTTTCTCGTTTTGTTTCTTTAATGGATCAAGAGATTCATATGTGCTCCCCTCCCTCTTTTCTACCCTTTCCCCTGCCTAGTTCAACAAACACCTCACTGGTTAGTACGCTTATGTAGGACGTGAAATCAAGGCGGCAATTTCTTCATGATGAGAGTTTGCTATTTTTGTTCGGTTGGGTTTTTTTGGTTTTGCCTTCTCAACTATTTTGCTGGGTTAGTCTGTGGTGTTTTCTAGCTCTTGATTTTAATTTTGTTATGAGCAGTGGAGCAACATCAAAGATTAATTGGGCCAAATGTATATTATTCTCCCTTCCCAGGGAAGTGTCCTGTTTATTAAGTATAGGCCTGGTTCCTCCATTTCCTTCTTCAAAGATTACTTATTAATATTATTGAAATTATTTATTCAACATGAAATGAAATGCATGCTTTAGGATGCAGATGTATATAACTACCAAATGACAAAGTGGTTAGAGCTTTCTCCCTCTAGCCTATTGCTTCTTTAATTATTATTAGACATTATAATAGCTTTAATAAGAGGGCTAGAGAATAATTCTATCTTGGAGATGTCCACTGTTTAATTTTCAGAATGACTTCCTAGGCTGAGGCTAAACTTTCTTTGGTCTCCTCCACCAGAGGATAATCTTGACTCTACAATACTAAGATGAAAGCATTCCTTGCTTTTGTTCTGCCATGTCCTTTCTGAAAGGAAATCATGGGTGAAATATCTGTCAAATTGGTTTTCTCAACAGCGAGGTGAGGAAATTAGGCCTGGCTTATGCCGAGCCACAACAGATGAGAAGCAGCTCAGATCTGGAAAGATGGAGGCACTTCTGACTATGTAAAAGACTTGTAGCTGCCTAAGACTTTTAGCCATTAAAGGTTAAGACACTTATGGTTACAGTTAGGGTTTTTTCAAAGTAAGCAGTAGTCAAGTGGGGATTTTTAGGTGCAGAGCTGTAGACTGCTTTATTCAGTATCCATATTAGTTTAAACCTGAAGCTTCCCCACCCCGCCTCCTCCGGACATTTTTGCACCCTGAAGCAAAGGCAAATCAGTGACTATTTGAGTGATCCAGCCCAAGTGATCTATTAATGAGTTATTAGGAACTCGTTGCTGGAAGAGAAAGTAGTTTATGTGTTTTTTGGGATGGTCTATTTGATTTATCTAGGCTTCTGACCTATCAAATAAATACTTTACACTTTACCTGCTTAAAGAGATGACATTGTACACTTGAACAACACTATATAAAAATGTATAGTTATTGAAGATTGCTCATAATATAGATAACACTCTTTAGACATTTTTTTATGACTCCTTGCAGTGTTTTTGTGGAAATGACCTTGCTGATTCATGTCTTTCCCTTCAAATGTCACCAAGGAGACAAAAAACACCCAACACATTAGATATGTGAAATTTGCATGAAATTTCAATTTCACTTAAGAGATCCATTGCCTTGAACAGTCACTGTGATTAGAAAAGTTAACTGTCTGTCCCAATATATTAATGATGGAAGTTATGAATTTTATCTGTACTCTAAATATCTCACCTTCGAAAGAAATAAATTAATTCATTTCTGATCCAGAAGACATGCTGTTTTGGTAATTAGTGTACAAGGTTAGTGTTAGGTTAGATGATTATATTCAATTAAGTATAATTAATGTAATTAATATAGATTCTGGTTTTAGGTGGTTGAGTTAATAGTGCCATTATATGCTTCTATTATGGTACTGCTTGTTGTATCAGGGAAACAGTTTAAAATGAGAGGCAAAAGCATTTTTTCTTCATTCCTCTCTCAGTGAGCAAAATAACTTCTCCTTGGTTGTAACATATGCATAATAGTTTATATTTCTTTTGTAAATGCTCAAGTTTATAAATACACTATATTAAAATATGTTCTAAAACTTTGCAACATATCTTTTAAAATTTGTCATTATGATGTGGTTACAAAATACTGTTCACAATAAGAGGAGTGGACTTGCTTCAAAGCATGCAGGATTTATTTACTAAACACATAATTTTCTGTTACATAGGTCTAGAAAATGACCAATAACCCACAACAAATACTATTTGAAAAGAAAGTGGTTCCAAGTAGAGGATTTCCTCTGGGTGTTTTTGTGTTTTTTTTTGTTTCTGCTGTTTTGTTTTGAGGAGGTGGTGGTGGAAAGATGTTTCTCATAGATTCACAGAGGGTACTTTTATGCCTCAGAGTTCCCAAGCCACCAAATAAAGAAGGCACTTGTGACAAACCAACTCTGGAAGCTATTTCATTTCTTCAGTCATATTTAAATGAGATAAAATTAAATTTTGCAGTGTAACCAAGTGTTGACATAACTATTTCTTCAGGGTTTGTTTACTTCATGCACAATGGAATGTAGGAGTTTTGTAGGCAATGTGTTCACTTCCCTTGGAAGCAAGTCGTAGTCTTAAGGGTCAGAAGACTCTGCTGATCCAGTAGCAGAGAACACTTAGCAGATCAGTCTGTCCAGAAAATACACTGCTGATAATCTTAGACTTGGCAGAACACACTGCCCCTTCCTATATCAAAAAGCAACATATTCCTACTTTGAAAAAATCTGAGCAGAAAAAACTTGATTTAAGGAACATATATATTTGAATTTCAGGAGGTAACTACATAGCCATGTAGAAATGGGGTAAAGAAGCATACCAGCTAACCATAAAAGATCATTTGTTTTCACATGGTGATTAGTGCTTCAAGTAACCTGTAGTTTCATTGTGCTAATAAAATGCAGACTGTATGTGATTCGAAAAATTTATATTTGACGTTTTTAAGAGAAATATTTCAGCCTTTTCTGCTCTACAGTTGGTGGTGCTGCATCTCTCATCGCTATTACATTAAAGAAAACTCTAGATGCTTTAAAATTAAAGATAAAATTGACCAGTTACCCATGCTGATATATGAGCTTTGGATTGAGCAACATCTGTTCTAAATACACATCTTGTAAGGAAATACAGTTGCTTCTATATTCGCTTAGAAGTGACAATTGACTGGAGTTTTTCTCCTCCTTCTATATTCGCTTAGAAGTGACAATTGACTGGAGTTTTATTTCTCCTTCCTTTGCTGTGCAAGAATGAAATTTCCGCCTCTGCTAGATGGATTTTCCCACAGTTGTTACCAACTTGCAACATGTCTCTGCGTTGCTGCAACTGTGGGTGTCCTGTAGCTGGCTTAGACCGCACTGCAACCCGTTGGTTCAGTTTTTTGCGTGCATCTGAGAGAGGACAAGAAGCAGTTGCATGTACTTTCTTTTTGCTTTTCCTACTTATGAAAGACTCTGATGTATGAACAATGAGTATCTCCAAAAGCAGCTCTTCCTCAAGTGAATTGTTGCTAGAGAAGTTCTGGTTTTTTATGAATGATCTATAGTGTGCGCTAATCACTTTATTTGTATGAGGTCTTTTCATAGCAAATCCAGAAAGATATAGCCCTAAAGCAACTGTTTTACATTTTGATGCTGCATCTGTTCCCTCTACATCCTTGTTCTCCCAACAGAGAAGATCATATTATGATTTTTTTTTCTCCTTACTGCTGAGAAACTCAAAACTATGATAATGTTCTGACTTCATGAGCTGAAAAAAGTGTCCAAAAGACATGCAAATGAGAGAGAGAATCTTTTCAGTATTGCACAAACTGTACAAAATTATTCTGTTATAACTTGGACAGTTGAACTGAAGGAAGGAAGCAGTGATTCAGAGATAAAAGTGGCAGAGGCACGTTCTTGTAGATTCTGCTACTTCCAGTTTTTTCCTTCCCCAGTCAGAGGGATGGAACTCAGCTTTATGCTTCACATGTGATATTCCTAAGCAATACCAAGATCAAGTGATACCAGTCTGATTTAATGGCACGTATTTCTCTGACACATCCTAGATTTCATAAACACTGAATTTATTGCTTGCTTGGGTTTTGCTTGAAATAAGGTTGAAAATCATTATGCAATGTCAAATTCTTCCTGGGTTGTTTCATTGTGTAAGGACACAACAAACCTGTAATTACAGCAAAGAGATTTTTGTTATTGAGGAGGGATGGTGAGAAACTATCACATTCTTGTACAAAATTAAGAGACAACAAGAAAAGACATTACTATAAAATGTATCCAGTCTGTTATGTTATAGAACTTTTTTCCCCTTGAAAGATATTTGATAGGAGACGCTTGTGTCTTTCAGTTATATAAAACACTGGAAATTCAGAGTTCTCGTATTGACACTGAAATGCTCAATATCAAATGAATATAGCCCTGATTATTATAGAAAACTTAAAGTGGCAGTATGTAACTGATGGGAGCGTGAATGAATTTTTTTTTTTTAATGCTGTCATAAACAAGATGTTGATCAGTGTCTGATCTCTAAAAATTCCCTCCTACAACTGCACGTGTGTTATACTATGTCATTTTTTTTTTTTTTTACAGAGAAATCCAATCTCTCCTCCTGGGTACACATAATATTTGAAAAGCAATGATTATGAACTCTTTAACTGTTCCTGTCTACAGTGCCAATTCTTTGAACTTCACAATTGGCATTTTCTTCTTTTTCTATACAAAAGTGAAACTTAAACACACCAGCTGCTTTGCAAGTTGTGATGCCGCATGATTTTCTCACCAGTTTTGTTCTGAGACCTATCAAACTCTGAATAATTTTCTGCTTTCATAAGCTATCATATTAACTTTGATGGAGTGATGCTGCTTGGATCAACATAGAAATTCAATTCAATAGCCCATGATGCGGAAACTTGTTTGTATAGCAGTAACATAAAAATAATAAACCCTGCCACTTCCTTGCGGATTTCAACATAAAGGCCTACTGACCAACTTGAGATGTGTTTGAGTTATGTGCCACCAAAGCCTACACAGCTGAGAAGATGCTACAAAATGAAGTAGAACAGGAAAGAAATCAGAAGTACTTTAGTGACCTGAATGCACGACACTAAGGTGGTGAAAGTGATGTAAAAGGCATTAAATTGAAGTCTGAGACACAGTTTTCTTGAAGCTACTGGGTGTGTCAGAAGGGGAGACTTGTGTTTTAAGGAACTTCCAGTTTGCCTTTGACACTGCTGCAATAATTTAAAAAAAAAAAAAAAGTTTTAGTCCCAGTAATTGAATATGGTTTCTGCAGAACCTTGTAAATCCTTCAGATGAAAGATCTGTGTAGTGGGAGTTAGAGGAGGTCCCCTGGTGTCCCTTTCAACAACAAAACAAGATTTGTTCAGTATAGATGTTTGGCTACTTGAAATTCATTATCCATCTGTAAAGATGATAGCACAAATCTCTATCAGTAAAGTCTAAAGGCTGCAGCCAAACCTTTAAAAGGCCTTCTGTGTCAGCATGAAAAGTTAGTGGTGTTCTGCAGGTTTCTACATCTATCTCCTATGCTGTTAACTGCCACTGAACTGAGAAGAGATGAAAAAGAGTAAATTTCATTAGAGAAAGGGGTGGGGTAAGATGCCTGATAGAGGAAGGTGGGAAAAGTTTCCTTTGGTATGCAATGAAACTTCAGTATCAAAGAATCACTGCAGCCTTTAAAAGGGGATTTTTAATAGCTCAGTGTACTTACAACTTGTATGGCAAGAGCCTTGTTGGAGGTGATCTACTGTTCTCAGGCCAGTTTTTATGCAGACTGAGCAAAAGCAGCTCCAGAAGCTAAGCTAGTGCATCCACTTAATATACTCATCTTGGATCTTCACAGTATTGGCTTTTTGGCTGCAACGCTGGATCTGCTTCAGCAACAGAGCCAGCAGCTATTGGTTTCCTCTGTTGTCACCAGTAGATACCAGTGCGGTGATGTGGAATTACTACCAAATGCTTCAAACAGTGACATGGGCATCTCCTTTGTTCTTCCCCAGGCAGCTGCCCAGAGGCCATTAATCCGTGACGGGAAAGAGGAGGATTTGGCAGTGATTTGACTTGTACATTGACAGAAGGCACATGAACAACTATTTATTTCCAGAGCCTTCCTGGGTAACTCAGAACATATCCTTCTTTTCATGAAAATGTAGCTGTTTACAATCTTGAGTCTAGGGAGAGAGAGGAAGCTGCATATTGACGTTTCTAAATGCCCTTCTCTACTGTCTTGCCCTCCTTATCAAAAATAAATGTAATTTAAAATTTAAATGGTAACATTAGTGAAATCTTATTAAATTTAATTTGAGTTAAATTAAAATAAAATTGCTGAAAAGTTAAATTTGCATAGGAAAAAATGCATAGTAAAAAATTTAAGCTGCAGAAGTCCTTAAGGAGAAGCACCATCATAACCTTTTTTTTTCCTTCTCTTCTACCCCTACTTTCCCAAATGCCTATATTGTGTGTACTCAAATTCTTTAAGTACTCGTGCACTTGAAAGAGTAATAGACTTTTCTATATGTCAATAACTACAAAAACATGTAATTGCAGATGAAGAATCTGATATGTAAGGTTTCAATGAGTTCTTCAAAGGGCAAATGAAGCTGGTGTTAGTCATTATGTATCATTGCTTATATGCACAAAAGTGGGTGTATCTATATCATGTTCCTATTCCTAAATAAATAGACACATTTAACATGAACAGCTGTAAGTGCAATATTTATATTTTAGGGGTTTTTTTTTGGTGAAAATGTGCACATCAGACTTCTACAAATGTAAGCACAAGATAATCCTCCTTCATCAGAATTAGTCATAATGATAATTGTGAAGAGATCTGAATTTTTATGTTGCTCCTGACCCTGTTGTGAGTTTCTGATGGATAAGCTGATAGTTTCAGTTTTCAGAGATGTCAGGCCAGCATTTTTTACACCAATGACTAACAGCAGTTGTTCTCTGCTAGCAATTATTTTTATCTTTCACAGCATATAAAGGCTAGCAATTATTTTTATCTTTCACAGCATATAAAGACTTGATATGCCCTTAACTAATCTTGAGGTGAAAACTTATTTTGCTTTTGTCTAAAGTTTTGATATTTTGAAGCAAAATCCTCTAGCTGTCCATTAGAATGAAAAAATGAGTTGTCAGTATCCTGAAAAAAGTTTTGCTTACCAGTTACCTTATGATTGCATTAATATTGTTATAATTATTTTAAAGCAGATTTAGGGTTTCACCTTTCACATCCTGTTCACGTGAGGGGAAAAAAAAAAGTGTACCACTGTAAGGAAGGTCTGGTATTTTTTGGATGTAACTAAGCTTATTGTCCATTCTCCCTGAGATAGTGATTTAGACCTAGTTTCACCACAGATACAAGATGTTGTGGATGAAAGTTCATAATGATCTGTGGTAAACTACTTTAGCACTATGAGTAAATTATTCATTCTAGGTTTTGATGATCTACATGTTTAATTGTCTCAAATAAAATTACTCTTAAGCAATATATAAAGAAATCATGCTACCATTAGTTGAAGTTGAAAAAATAGTTTTATTATTTAGTTCAAAAATATTCTTCCATTTCAATGTTTCTTCAATATCTTTCCTGTTTCATAAATTTTATGGATTTGATTTTAAAGCAACCCATTGATAAAATATTGCTCAGAACAGAAAGGGAAAGGTTTGTGGAATACAATACTTAAAACTTATGATCAAAGAGAAACACAGACAGTAACTTGAGGTCAGGAGTCATTTAGACTTCAAGAAGGGGTGAGTAAGAGTTTGACTGGAGAATGAGGATATTACTGACTTCAGTAATATATCTAAAAAAGATTTTTCTGTTTTAATGTGGCTCATGTAGAACCCTAAATATAGGGTTTAAGCTTAACTTTTACTTTGGTATTGAAGTACAGCATATAGCACACAGGACTAAATGTGTGTGGAAGTTTCTTGCTGACTCAAACTGAGCACAGTCCAAAAGCAGTGACAAAAGTCCAAAGTTTATTCTCCATGATTTCCCATGTAAAATCAACTCTATGGGACAGTAGGGTAACAGAGTATAAGAAAGGTATCAGAAATAGTTGAGATGATGTCATTAACATAACAATAAATAAGAATTGCCATTTAGATGCTTATTAAAAAAAAATCAGTACTTTACAGAAATATGAAAGATAAACTTTTGCCACACCTCTTGATATCTCCTCCTAAAATAAGAATCACTGATAACTTGTTCCTTCCTTTTGCTAAGGCAATAGAAAGGGGAAATCTATAGCGTTTCATACAATATTATTTACTGAACTGGGGTGTGTGAGGAGGGCAGAGATCTGGATAAGAAGAGCTCAAAACCAAGGGATAAGATTTGAGTTACAGTTTATGCTTGATATGTATGGCAACAAATCAGGATCCCCGGGTATGTCCAGGTATTAGAATTACAGTATCGTTTAATACTGTGAACCATCACCTTCTGGTGAACGCTGCCTCTATCCTAGTCTCTCCTTGCTTTAAATATACTTGAATATTTAAATTTACCACCGGCAGCCTCCTGTTTAATCATGTGGAGATAGGCAGTCTAAACAAGTTCTGCTAGGAAATCAGTCTCCCAGCTGAACCGTCGAGCAAATAAAAGACTTGGCTCTCATTTTGTCAGTGCTGTTTATTATGTGAATGCAATACTCTTCACTTCAACAGACCCATGAAAGATAATCGTTACTTTCCTAGCACAGTATTTCTCCTGGTTTAGGGAAGGAGGAGTATGAAAAAGTGCACCCTGATCTGAGACGTGCAGTTAACCATATTCCCATGTAGGAAACAAAAATGGTTTTCGTCCTTACAGTCTTTATTTTTGACTGTCTTAATATTAGCTAAGAAGTCCCTTCTTGTTTGAAATACAGGATTTTAGGTTTTATTTTGAGAATGCTCAAATGTTCTTATTAACTTTTAAGCTTCATATCTCCTCCCTGCCCCAGCTACACTAACAATAGGATTGAATTAAGTTTATTATTATCTCATTTTAGTTTTTTGATGAATAGATATTTTACTGAGGAAGAAGTCTGATTTGTCAACCAACTCCACTGTTGATACCTCTATCTTTCTATTTCTTTCCTCAGATGAAGCAGCTGGTAAGCTTTATATACTAAGAAGGCAATTTGATCATAATTGCATCAAAATATGCCATTTCCTCAAACAAGTTTTACTTGTTTACTCTTAAACGTTTAATCATGTTTAAGAAGATCTATTATATGTAACTGTGTCAAGCTTCATCCATCTTCTATAACAGAAGTCTAAAACTAGAATTTGATCATTTATTTTAAGCCATATTACTGTGTTAACTGGTCTGCAAGTGGTCTGGGATATCAGTTTTGTCCTCAGCATCCTTAATTATATGGCTGTCTAATTGGTTCTTATTATTTAAACATCACAACACAGATTATCATCAGTTACTGTCTCATTAATACCACCTGGCTTGATACACAGTGATATCTGTGCAGTCAAGTTTCCTGTCTATGTATGGGATGCAAAGCTGTGCAATGGTCTTTGACAAGCACTAGAGAAAGTATAACACTTGGAGAAACTGTCACTGTTTTGGTGGCCTTTATTTCAACAGCTCTTTCATATCCCTCTGAGAAGACTGATGCCATATTGGGGAGGACAGGGTTTGCTTTAGACACTTTTGTTAGCATTGTTATATTCTTAGTTTCTTTACATTATTGCAGAATTGGTGGATACCAATTCTTGGCCCACAAATTGAAAACACAAATTGCAAGTCTGAGAAAATGGGGCTGGAGCTGAAAATGCTTTCCTGCAGTCCTGTGCCAAACCAGAGGTTTGGCAGAGAAATTAGTCTACAAAAACCTTTCTGTGAAATACTGCTACTCTGAATCAAATTCTTTGGTTTATGGTGTTAGAAACAGTGCAGTTTGCTTCTACTGTTTGACCTTCTTAGTTGTGCTTGTATTCTTTCACCTTTCTTTGTGAACTTAAAGAAAAAGATACTAATTTCCCCTTATACCAGGTTATGATAGATCAGAACATATCTAATTAGACTACTTTGGAAAAATGTCTCAAAGTTGGTTTTCATTTCTTTTACTGGAAGTATTTCATCTGGTTACTGCTCTATAGCAGACCTCTAAGAATGCTCAAGAGCATTTTTGAGTCCAGCACTGGGGGATCTTCCCTTTTTACATATCATCTGCTGTTTGAGCTATAAATGAGTAAGTTTCAGCCCTGACCACTGACAGCTGCTCCTGTAGGTAAAACTTTATGATTACAAATTCCTGTACAGTTAGGGGAAAACCCCTGTGTTTTCCATTAAAACTGAAAGCGTGTGCTTTCAGGTCTTGGAGGGCATTAAAATAGTGGAAGGTACACTTACAGAAGTTTTTAGGGGACTTATGGAGAAAATTTCACAACTCAAATGGAGACTTGGAGAGTTGCAATCCTTTTACAGAGAAGGCCCAACATATGCACAGAAAAAGACAAGAAGTATTCCTTGTTCAGCAGAGCAAGAGCAAAGAAATAAAATGTTCTCTGATACCACTCTGTTAGTTGCCAGTACGTTTTGCTTTAAGGAACGACAGCAGTTGAATAGAAGGAGAAAATTGGAGGAGATAGAGATGGCAGACCATAAGAATTGTGCATGAAGTGAAAATTGAGTGATTGAGTTGGCTGAACAGGGAAATAATTTTTCCTCCTAACCTAATGCATTAAAGGAGAAAAAAAAAGCTGAACTGTGGCTGTGGGCCATGAGACTTTTCAGGTGACACAGCTACTATCACCTGTTTTATCCTTTTCTCAATCTAGATTTTAAATACCTAGTTTAAAACAAAATTTTTAAAATGGTGTACTATATATCTTAGCACCAAGGTAAAAGTAGAGGACAGATTTTTTTTGCTGTTATCTTGGCAGCTCTGCTTGTTACAGCTCTGTGTTAGATGGCTATTTTGAGACTGCAAAGCAATGTAGAATGAAGAGATAGCTTGCCTTTCGCAAAAAAATTTAAGCCAAAAACTTGAGACAAAATTTTAAAACAACATCTTGAAAATTGCAGGCCACTCCAAAACTGGAAGATTAAAGAGAAAGTATCAGGGCATCTTTCATTAGTTTGTCAGAATGACAAATAACTTTTTTTTCATAAAGGAAATTAAGAAATACAACTTACACTGCTCTTTCAAGTGTATCTTATTTACTTCTGCTCTTTCTTGCAGGTAAAAATTAAAATTACATTGAACAAACTATTTTGTCATGAGTTAATGGACTGGATAACCTTAATAAGAAGTAGTAACAGTTCAATAAAAAGAAATGGCTTTTATTTTCCGATCTCTGAATGATTAGAAGGAGTAGAGGTTGTCATTTCAGTGCAATTCCTACATAAACTAAACGTGGGGGGAAAAAAAAATGGTAACACTAAAGCAACTTATAGTTCACCTTAGAGAAAATATTTGTCAAAGCAGCATCAAAGTCTGCAGTGTCATGAACTGACACTGAGATTCCTCCTGAGAGAGGTATTATATTTAAAATGTCTTTTCTCTTTCATGCCTTCTTTGAAATACTTTACTTTCATAAGAACTATAGATCCATATTTTGTTCCAGGGACACACAAGCTGATGTCCATCAAAAGTTTCCATTTTATTGATTAAAAATTAAAGTTTTGGAACAGGACACCTGTTTATTTTGTTGTCAGCATCTGTGAGGATTTAGTTTTCCTTGTGTTCTTTGCATCCAGTGTTTTAGTCACAGGCACTCTGGAGCAAGGACCCAGTTTTGTTTCCTGATTGCCCCCTTCTTGGCTGGTGGTGTGCTGCAAGTAGACTCTTCTCCGTTGTGACAGCATCTCTCCAAGTGCACGTGTGTAGGACCGATGTAATTCCAGAAGGCTTGGGAGCTGTTCTAAGAATAGCTTAGCCATTTTTATGGCTTCTAAAGAGACGTTGTATGTGTGTGTGTGTGTGTATTTTTATATATGTATGTACATGCAGTGTGAAGATGACTAGAAATGTTATTTAAATTTTTTTAGTACATGTATATACTCGAGAGAAAGGCATATGAATAACTGAAAGCACGCAGGCTTTTGACAGCCTCTTCCTTGTTAGCTCCCCGACCCGTAGAGGTGGGCAGCAGTCAAGGCACTGTATATTGTGTTGTGACACTGGGTTAACCTTTGGTGCTCTCCTGTTCATTCTCAGGACCGTACAAAATGGTGTCTCCGTGAACACAGGAGGAAGGGAGGTGCTTGGTCACAGCTCCAGCTCTCGCTGCCCCCACCTCTCCCAAGGGGGCATCCCCTGTAGCACTGTCCCGCTGGAGTTTGCCTGGGTACTGCTTTTTTCTCTCTGCCACATTTATCTTCTCTCCTATCTTCCTAATGCACAAAATAATTTCCAATTAGAGTCTCTGATCCTGGTTACCTGATTTCCTCAGTGGGTCATGTTTTGGACAGTTTGGGAATACTTACACTTGCAGTAATCTTAATTAACAGTGGAGCAATGCAGCCGAATTCAGCAGTTTCAGCAACTTCCAGTTTCAATCTGAAATACTGTATTTTGGCTTTACATAGAAGAATTGGTTTATTTTAATGCTCATTAAAGCTAAACTAGGACAAGGTCTAGGTGTTGTGCTCAGAAGATATAGGCAATATTTCAGGGAGAAAGGCAACAAGATAGTAAAGATTTTAGATCTCTCTATAAAAATGTTAGTTTTATAACAATGCATTTGAAATTTGTAAATGCCAGTTTAGAAGCTTTTACATACAGCAATTCTCTGAAACATACATCCTTCTTTATAAAAAGCATTCCTGCTCATTAGTTTTCTTAATAATTAAACTGTTTATTCTGAGGAACTCATATCTGCATTTTTTTTATTGCTGTGAACTAGGAGATAGTCAAAGGTTGTTAGAATTTCATGACCAGCTTTGAATAGCATTTCAGCTTTTAAATGTTTAAATGTCTGAACTTACCATTAAGATTTTTGTCTCAATTCCATAACACACTTCTTTCTTTTCCAGAGTGGCCAAGTTCAGATTTTCAGAGAGAAAGCCAGAAGGCTTTGGAGAACAGGTAAAACTTGTTCCTTGAGGGCACTAAATTTGCATGAGTTTGAAAGAGTTTTTTAAACCTTTGTCCTTTAACCCAAATCCAGATCTCAAATTCAAATTTAGCCCATTCCAGTTGGAATTTTTATCAGACAGGTGTGTTACTCTCTTTAACATATTTATTTATACATAAAACTCTCTTCCCCTTTATCTTGTTTTATTTAAAATGTAGTTTTGAATAAAGAATTTTTACTCCATTCTGAGGCTGCATGTTAAAAAAAAAAAAAGAATAAACTGAGGCACCACTATTTCCAGTTGGTTTCTTTAACTGAAGCTGGTCCATGAACTTTAACTACACTGTTAATGAAAAAGTGCGAAGCCTACAGCATTACTTTAACAAAGTGTAGTTTCTAGCTTTACATTTCCATTCTTTCCTTTAATACAAAGATTATCTTGGTCTGACCTGTGTTAACTTCTCCCAGGAAGTCTGCAGCTGTGTGATTTACATGTAGACCTGTGTGGCTTCCAAACAGCTGCTGCCTGACATACACACAAATTCATAGCAGCCTGCAATGACTTGTTGAATGGTTCATTAAACCATCTGAAGAAGAGGTGATTATGCAAGCCAGCAGTATAGAGTGTGTTGCCAGTTCTGGTTTTAGGGTAATTATTGTTACAGTTCGACACAGCACTGTGCCTTGTTTTATTGTACTGTAATTTTAGAGCCAGATTTAAAGTAGCGAAGCATTTTGGTACAAATAATTTTTGTGCCTGTGGTTGCTGTAGGTATCTACCTGGCCTTTATCCAGCAAGCCTCTGTTAAAAATTAATGTAGTAAGCATTGGCCTAAATTACTGAAGCTCTTTCTTTTTGTGAAAGTAGGATTTGCACCATCGCTTCATTTTATCGAATTCATCTGAGTACTCTAGGCTAACTGACCTAACGTGTTGGCTGCTACTGAAAGGCCAAATGTCTTTGTACAGCTCCGTATTGCGCAGTATGTTGCTGTTGCAAGACTCCCTTCTCCAGAAGGAAGAAGGCAATTTTGTAGAGGTCTGAACTGAGGCGACTATCTTGCTGCCAGTATCACTAGATCACCTAGAGCAATGTGGGGAGTTTTGTGGCTGAGGCACTCAAAGGTAGATTATCAACTTCTAAATTATACCTTTACTTCTGAGAGCCCTGGGTGCCTTTGGAGACTTTATAATCAGTTATCTACCTTGAACTCCACTTACTGCCTTTAGAATGGTCTTTCCTTTCCTATTCAAAGGTTTTATAAGATAAGAATTGAGATAGAGATAAGAAACAGAGAGATATAAAGGCTTTAATTGGTTGCTAGTTTCTAGTGTTCTGTATTTCCATGTGTATTTATAATGATGTCTCTTCAGTCTTTCAGCACTAAGGGGGATATTTACTCTCCTCCTACTCCCACTCTCTGTCAGAAAGCCAGGGTATATTGACTCTACAATCTTGAAATACAGTAATTTGATAATCTGACTGTTTAGCCAATAATACCTACTCTGCAGATGGTCCAAAATATTTGTTGTATCACTACAGAATAAATGAGTGAGTACTGGCAAAGTGCTCAAGCTACAAAAGTAGCTGTGTTCCCTAACTCTTGGACACTGCATCATCTATTGAAATTTGGATGCCCAAGTTGCTGAGTAGCCTCATGCTTGTGTGCTGGAAGCTGTGTAAGAGAATGATACAGAGGCAATAGCAGGCTGCGTGGGAAAATGTCTGAAGTTAACCATTAAGAAATTCTGGAGTGAGAAGTCAGGGTCCAACTTCTCAGCTGTGCTGGAGGTTCCTAACAACAAAGTGCCCCTTGGACTTTGTGCCAGATTAATCCTCTTTTCATTGCAGAAAGAATCATCTGCATCTGTGGTTTAATGTCCCACTGGAATCTATAAAAGTTTCAGGCTTATTTGGCACAGAATTTAGAAGTTTTTTGCTTTCACTAAGAATAACCCAACACCACAGTCTGTGGTATTCTGGGAGTCATCTGCCTCAGTTACTTCTTCTAAAGCTATTTTTAATCTCTAATAAAAGATTAATTATGCCAAGATTTGGGCCATGAAGGTTGTGGAGGAGAGAAAAGGAAGAGAAAGTCCCTACAGTACAGTCACCAAAGACATGGGAAAAATCAGCTACAAGATTTATAGTTGGGATTCAGCAGCAGGGATGCTGAGATAAGCTCTGAAACACCATGCTAAGGCTGTGAACCTGCCGTGTGCCGTTGTCTCTCTGTAGAAGGGATGTACTTTGCCAAAGTATCACTTACACCTCCCCGATGGTGTCTTTCTACCTGTCCTGGCACCTACCCAGTGCTATCTGTCAGTATTTAACCTAGAGTGTCGTTCTTTAACCCTCATGTCTCTGAAGCATAGATTGGTGTCCTCTATGTGCCTTCATATCCCATTTTTTTTCAGATTTTCTAGGGAGAGCGCTCCCCAAGTTTTTTCTCTTTAACCTGGACATGTATTCAAGATTAAACTCCAGTCTGAGGTTGGACCTCTACTTTAAAATTTGGAACCAACAGGTTATGGTAAATTAAATGTAAATTTAATTCCAGTCAGAGCTGAACAGCCGGGTTCCTCTCTGACTGCTTCCTTCATGCAGCGCCGGGGCTGAGCTTTCAGTGTCCATAACAACAACTTTCTCTGCAAATGGTGTCCTAATTCTGTCTAAAACTGTCCTGGGGGACTTTGACAGCTCCTCTGAGTTCTCTTTGCTATTTCTCTTCATCTGTTCCTCTTTATCCAAAATTCTTTTCATGATGCCAGTCTGTTGCAAATACAGTTTTGATGGGTTTATTTGAATATTAGCTACTGTTTGAACAATTTCAGTCCAGTGCTTCATGGGTTACTACTGAAGTTGTAGAAGTACTCAAAAAAATCATTCAGGGTTTTATATACATATTCAGAGGAGATTTTTATGTTTAGAATATTCTATATAGAGCTCTAACACTTCACTGATGAATAAAAAAAATATCTGATCACTGGGTTGTTTTCAGATGGACAGAGAAGGTATTTTCATTTATTTTCCTTCCTTTCCTGTTCCCAAATGTTCAGAATTGGAGAAATCCAGTTTTGTCAGAGCATGCCCATGGTCTGAGGATTGGGCTGCTGTCTTGGAAATTAGAAATCCTTGTTCCAGAGAGGTATTTCAAATTTCAGCAAAATTTCAAAGCTGATTCTCCAGTATTGAAAAGCGTTCTTGAAGCACTGGCATTTTAGGACAGCTTTTTTCACCTCCACATTTCCTCACAGTTTGTGTGTTAAGAAATCCAGTGTGATAAGATATTTTGAGAACACCTATCAGATAGATCTGTACTAGGTGGAGACAAGGTGACAGATGAATCTCGTTGCCTCTACCCCTGGAGCTGTAAACATACTAGTCTTGAAATCAAGTGTGTTTTATATGTCTTGTGGTGGAAACAGCAGTAGCTAAGGGGTTTAAAGGCAACTGATGAAAACTAGCTGCTTTGATATTGTTGAATCTCATCAATACACCTAGAGAGTTCTTTATTTGCCAGAAATTCTCTTGTGATCTATTCCAAAAATGATTGCTGGGGTTATGCTGGAAATGTTTGGGGGTTTTTTGTTGGTTTTTTTTTTTTTTTTTGGTTAATTATGTTCCTATCTGCAGTTCAATGTTTGCATTCCTATGATACCTGGAGAGACCTGTTTAGTGGGTTTCTTTCACCCTGACACTTAAATCTCATTTCACACATCAGATTATTTAATATGATATAGTTACTCAAGAGAAACAATTAGATATAATTTCATAATTTATTAGAGTAAATTATTACCTAGGGTAAATACAGGAGGTGTTTGCTGTCATTTGCTCAGTTCTCTGAGAACTTGTGCTTTAGTGTTAAAAATAAACATGATTTTTTTTCCTGTTTCTTTAATATTCCTAATATCTAGAGTCTCTATCATTATTACCTACATGTTTGGAATATATAGCAAAATATAGTCCCTATTCACAAAGGCAAATACAAAAAGGAGATAGAAGAAACACTAGTTAGGAATGAAATGACTCTCATTTTTGTAATAAGTGGCAATTGCAGAATATCGTCTGCCTAACCATTGTCAAATTTTTGTAAACCTCATGATGGAAACAAGTTTTAAGAGTAGTTTGAAGAGAAGGACAGCTGTGGCTTTGTGAATAATCATTTTTTGTTGTTGTTGTAAATGCTACAAACGATAGCATTACTGAAAACAGAGATGGAATATATCACTCGGTTGCTCATCCTTTTAGTGCTTCCCTTCTGTGAAGGCCCAAGTCCCCAGAGTGTGCTTTTGGGGAACATGTGTTGTCTGCCAAAACTCATTTGAAATTTGAAAGCAGAATAATGTTTTGCTTAACTTTGTTTTTTCAAATGTAAAACATTTACATTTAGGGGGAAATGCTCCTTATAACTACAGGATACTGTAACTGTAAATCATTAAGTTTTTTCCAAAGTAGTTGAGCTGTTTTAAAATTTAGATATAAAGGATATTTTTAAAGGCGTATTTTTAAGCTATAAAGACGTGTTTTCTTAAATTACTTGAAAACTAAACTGACTAGAATAGGAACACCAGACCAAGAATTTTAAGTGTTTGAGCCTTACAATAAAAATAAGTGCTTAGGGTGGTTTCCTTACCATCTAATCCCAGCTGGTATTACCATCTAATAATACAAGTATCTCATTACATCGAAAAACACTCTCTCCTTTCAGGATGGAATCAAGATCGAATTTGAAGTGGACAAGCACTGTCCATGAGAGCTGCTGTGAGGGCTATGGAATTTCACAGTCTGCCACCACCTTCCTGAAATGTTTAACAAATTGAGTCAATAGTTTGTCAGTAATATTTGCATATTTTGCAGGCCCACAGTGGAGGGTCTTGGGGCAGCAGAGACCTGCAACCCACTGGGAGTGCAGAGACATGCTCCTGCTGGCTGCCTTACCCACAAGAGAGATGCCACACAGCTCCCAGCTAATTGTATAAAGCAAAAATCCTTTCAAGATAATTTACC